GACCGACACAAACCTGATTGATTAGTAAAACAGTATTTATTCATATTTAATTAGGACATGCTTATACCAGTACGAGTGCAGCAGTGAACTTTGAGCAGGTGGACATTTCTCTAAATAATTTGTTTTTGCTATGCTATTATATAAACATAGAGGTAATGTGAAAACAGCACATTAGAGAAGTTATGAGAAAGATAATAATTATCTGACACTGGCTGAGCTGTAAATGTCAGAGTTTTAATCAAAGTTATTTTGGAAGCAGTTTTAAATTAACGTTTCAACTTAGTCTCTTTCTCTGCCTCCACTCAAAGAAACCAAGGACACTTGAGAATAAATTAACTGAAGCTCAATATAATCCCTCTTCAAGAGTTCCATGACTTTCCTTAGAACCCAGAAAGTAACACAAATAAAAAAGGACTGAAGTACTAGCTGAGAGCAAAACTTAAGTTGTGTGTCAGAGAGTGTTTAGAGGATGGGCTTTCAAGTGGTCCTCCTATATGCAACAACTGTGTGTTGTAATTGCAAGATCAAGATACACAAATATGAACCCTGGAGCCTATACTCTTTACTGTTAGCTACTTACTTTCTAAAGTACTTAAAGCCAATGTTTCACACATCAGTATTATAACTGATTGCAATTATGAATCAAGTTTTAACACTCCAAAATGAACCTCTGCCAAAAACTGAAGCTTTTTAACAGTCTCCCAGAAACGTTATTAAGCCTTGGCTTTGTCTGGGTGAGCTGCTTGTGTGAACAGATTTCCACTTCACCCAGAGCCCCATAGTAAATATTGTATAATATTGAAATAGGCTTTGATATATCAGCATTATTTGTGTTGACAAATTGCTTCACATTTTATTTGTTCTCATTTTGGTTTGTTTGTTTGTTACTTTGTTTACCAATAAAATAGAAAGTTCTGTTTTGTTTTCCTTTTCCTCCCCTCTTGTCCCCACTGAGTCTGTGTTATATCAAAGCTATATTGTTTCTTTGTTTAATCTCCACTTGGTTTTTAGCAGCCAGCATTGCTGTTAGCCTTTTTACTACTTTCTGTGTGAACTGCATGTTTCAATAATCTTTCCCAGAAAAGACGAGGTCAAATCAGCTCCCCAGTGTTTCTCCTATCAGGACACCACAGGAGATCAGTACTTTTTCATGTCTACATGTGGTCTTTAAATTGTGTTTCTGATCGATTTGCAGAATTTCCAATTGGCTGATAACAATGTCATGACCTCAAAGTTGAACCAGTCGCTCAGAGCAGCAGCTGTCTGGAGGCAACAGAGCACTCTTTTTCATTAATCTATTCGTGTCATATAGTTCCCTTATTGCTCTCAGAAGCATGCCTACTTTAACTTGGGGCATGTCATCTCTCCCAACAGGAGCACTCAAGACAAGTGCACGCTGTGCCACCAAGGCCTACGCTACTTTTCCCAGATCTTTGCGCAGTATGGGCTCCTTTGCGTTCTCTGTCAGTAAAGCTGGGAATCTCATTGGAAAGTAACCGGCCTGTCTGTTCTTCACTCAATAGGAACACAAGGTTTACCAGCCAGAAAACAAGGCTTGAGGCTACATCTTACAATGAGTGCAGACTTCCTTTTTGTTGTTGTTTGTAAAGCTTGTATAAGGCTTATTCCATTAAGGTGTTTGTTTGACTCTAATCTAATGATGCAATGATGAAATGAGATTCTCATCAACACAGGTACCTGTAAGCAGCTAGATATTATATATGTCAACAATAGAGCAGTTATAGACCACATGTCTTTTATTCTCCTGTCTTTGGCTGCTTAGGCAAGCTCTTCAAGGTAAGAGATGATCAATCGTGGGCAATATCTATGACCTAGGCTCCAAATTGGCGGTCCTAAGTCCTAACTCTGAGAGGATCAAAGATGACAAATCTCACACTCTTGTGACCGAAGATAGCCTGGGACAAATATCTGACAGTGTCAGAAATTTGGGATGATCATCTCACAGTGTGAATGCCGCTACGATCTATGTGAACTACCAACTAATAGGAATGCAGCATGAAATGACGCACTAATAAGCGCGACCACACAGTCACCAGAAATGTCAAAAGCGTATGCTATAATAACGTTTTTTATGCATGCACATTAATGCCATTATGGCAAGAGCCGCCTTGTACTGAACTCCATGACAGCCTCAGCCGCAAACTGATGACGCTAATGACTTGCAGGGCAGCCTACGATTCACAGGTACCTCATCGTACAGTTTACATACATGTTGTTCCCAACATTTTGAGATCCGTGTAGCACAGTATAGCTTGCTATGAACTTATAAATATAGTAAAAGTTGCATAGTCTGAGGGAGGCTTTGGGTATTCTACAACAAAAAATGTCCTGCCATGTTTGCGACCAGATAAGACATGGGGAGGAGATCTGAAACCTCCTTATCCCTTCCCTTTAATGAGGCATGACAACAGGATACACAGGTGTCCTCTCAGGCTTGGAAGAGGATGTGACTAACATCCAACAAGTCGTCGATCACACTCAATAAACACGGGGAAGCTGTCTCTCTTCTAACTCCAACTTTTGATTGTTACTGCTGGTGATAGTCTTACTTTCAGCTTCCATGTGACACACATTGCAGACCGGGGATGTCTTGTGTGATTTTTTGCTTCCACCACACAAACGCTGCTAGCTGTTGTTTCATATCTTGGGTGGTTAATTATCCAGATAATGGGCGCGTTGGTACTGCACAAACATCTGCACAATAAAATAACTGCTATTTTTCTTTACCCACAACTTAAATATGTTTTGCATGTAATATTTTGGTAAATGTTTAATGCAAATGCTGAAAGACCAAGGGGTTCTTTAGGTGACAAATTTAGGATATACTGTCTTTGTAATATTATTTATTTAATTGTCAACACAGGCAAAAAAGCACCAATGTTATTGTTTTTTTAAGAAATTCATATATATACTGTACATCTCTGGCTGAGATTTTACAGTCAACATAACAGTTTTTCAAATGTTATTGCTATGTTCTTTTGTAATAAAACACTGATTCAAAGTAGATTTAATAGAGTTTTTTTTACAGTAACAAAAAAATACCATTTGATGGAGAAAAAATGACAAAAAATCTCTGCCAAATGTGCTGAAGAAATTATGAATATATAAAACACTCGCACAAACTCGCAAAATGATCACTTAGGCCTAATTGTATGCATGCATGCTTGTTGATAAGTGAATCCTCCAGAGCCTTTGTGCCTTTAATCGAGAGACAGGACAGTGGATAGAGCTGGAAATCAGGGAGAGAGAGTAGGGAATGATATGCCGGAAAGGAGCCACAGGCCGGACTTGAATCCGGCCACCCACTTGGAGGACCACAGCCTCCATAAATGGGGCGCATGCAGTAACCACTGCGCCACCAGCGCCCTGCATTAAAATGCTTTTAATCAATTTTGTAAGACACTTAAATTTAACAGTTGCAAAGGCGGTGAATACATTCTATAAGCACTGTATTTTATGATTCATCATTATACATAAATTGGTCAAAATTGAATGTGCCTTCTTTGTGCTGTAATACGTCATCATTTTTATGATGTGTGAATCACAGTGTGCCTGTTAGTTATTGGTCATGAATATAGTTGGTGTCTCTTGTTCTTGCTCGGCCACACAATTTCGTCCTTTCCTCTCCATGGATGGACATGTTCTTTGTCCTTTCCTCCTGTCAGCTTCTCATTTTCACCGTGACAACGTTTTCATTGGGAAGTAAAGGGACAGTGAGTAAAGGAATTAATCAAATGGAAGCCAACTGCGAATGGACTTAACTTTTTCATTATTGGTTAACGAGAACTATCCTTAAAGGCGAACTGCGATCAAACCCACAGACAGCTAAACTTCTTTTACCAGAGACCTTGATTATAGACTGACTTATGTAGCTCCAAAGGCAGCTATCACAGCTTTTAATATCCCTGCAATTGGTATTCATTTTAAATACAGCATTTAATATACTGAGACTTTAATATTTATGTCAGTCATTTATTATTTTTTTTTAGCAGAGGCTTGATTGAGCTGCAATCAAGCAAGGCCTACACCTGCATTGTAAGAGTAAAAAGACAATCAGCTTCTCCTCTGTCTGTCTCATCTTTTTGTGCATTTTTATGCAGAATAGGGGACAAAGAAGCTCCTAATAGTCAAATATAGTCTTGTATTTTTGTGGCGATACACACTGACCTGAAAAGCCAAAGGGCTCTGGGAGCCATCAAACACTGTAGTGAGAAGAATCTTCAGCTCTGATGGATTTTTTTTTTATCATCGTTGCAGAGCCATTTTAATTGGGAGGGGTGACAGTCTTGCTCACTGTCAGTTTTGGTTTTGAAAATGATATCAAATGCACCCCAGGTGTTCCTTATTTTATTCCAATTAAAATTTTAGAAAGGAGGAGAAGGGGGTTGGACAGTCATCATCTTTGCAGCTATGAACTTCTTCAATGATTACCTCAGATCCTCAACTGATCTGGAAAAGGTCATCCCTGCAATTATTTCCTTTTGCAAAGGCAACTGCGATTCTTTTTTTTAAACTTTACTCTGCAGTTTATCCAGAAGCCAGGAGGTGGGATTCAAATTAAAGATCATGTTACCGCCATCTTGACTTTTGAGTCTTTTTTTGTTTTTGCTCATTGTATTTCAAACAGCACATCTTTGCTGACAGTAGACCTATATGAAAGGTAGAATTAAAGAAATAAAAGCACTTTTTGAATTAAACAGTATAAAAAGTAGTTCCTTCCAGTCCTATTTTCGTGTTTATATAATTCCTCTACAAACACTTAAATTAAAGCTTTTCTAGAAATCCAAAGCAGCATATATTATAGTTAAATGAATTACACAGTAGAAGTACGCCTAGGACTAGCAGTTAACCTGAATTGTTGGAGTGCATTGTCCGACTCTCGTCTCTATTCATGAACGCTGCATTCTTGAGGTCACGTGATCAACTCGCTGACCAATCACGTCGCTGAAATAATGTGACGTCATGTGACGCCGGAGATTCAAAGTTGGCAGCAACGTTTCACAGCTTACTGTTTTCATCCCCTTTCTGTTGAAGCTTAACAAAAAGCTTTACAACTTTTATATATCGATGTTCTCAAAAGAGTAAATTGGGTTTTCAGAACCAGAATGGAGGGCAAAGTTATTGGGCCGGGTCCGTACAGAGCAACAAAGCTGGTGAGTTTGTTTGTAAGTGTTAGCAGAAATGTAACATTGTGCTTCGTTTTATTTATATTTATTTATAGAATTTTTCACAGGTGTTATATGTGACTTTGTTAAGTTTTATCTTCAGATAAAAGACCTATTTATTTATCCTAAATTCACTTGTCAACAAAGGTAGTTTATTTTAAGACGAACTGGTCTAACATGCTACTATACTGTTTGGCTAGCTGTTGTAGTTTTTTGGTATCAAATTCCTTTACACCACTCTTTTGCTTGTAAACTGTTTTACAGAATACAATTAAATTGTAAAACTATTGTAACATGCAATACAATAATAATAGAGATGGTTTATCTGTATAGTAATTTTATACATAGCTTTTCTTTTTATATCTATTTATATCTGCACCTTATTTTTCTATGTAAATACTTGCTGCTGTTTTGTATCCTGCACTACAACGAGCCAAATGCAACGAAATTTCGTTCTTATCTGCACTATGAAGTACAAGTTTGAATGACAATAAAGAAAGTCTGAGTGTAATTATGTGTACTTCAGGATGTAGTAGTATTCTTATTGAAAACTAGTTTCCCCCATCCTCTGCTATTTACAGTTTCCCCAACTAACCTTTTTCCTAGCACACATTATGGCTTGTTAAAGTCAGCAAAGCACATGTTTTCTGATAAAGTTAATAATTTATTGTCCATTTTATTACACGAGGCCAAGCATGCCTCAAAAGTGAGACACCAGTGTGTACAGAAAAAGGACCCTGCTACTGAAACCAGTCGTATAAAGCCTGTCAGACATAATGAAAAAGACATAAAGCATCCCTCCTAAAAAGAACAATGCAGGCAATACGTCAAAGTGTCTCTGTGACCTTCAGGGACATGAATCTAATCAACAGGGCATGCAGATATTAACTCATTTTAAAATAGTTTCTAGAGTTAATAAGAGATGTGTTCAGTTTATTATTATTTTCAGGGTTTAAAGCAGCAATGTTGAGCAGCTTTTGCGTTACACTTTGATGCTCTTCTTGGTTGTGATCACCTTGTCCAGCCTAATTCTGTCCCTGCTTTTATCTACCTTTCATTTTTTCCTGTCAGGCTGTCTGTGTACTGTGTGGGATCTGATTATCCATCACCTCTGCACCATCCAAACACTATGAGGACATAATGTTCTCTTTGTTGTGAAACCAGCCTATGTTATTTGTGTTAAGAGGATATTAGATTGGATAGAGTTATTTCAGAGCAAAAACAAGAACATGAGTCTTTTTTTTTTAGTCTGCAGGTCTTAATATTGCCCATGTCTTTGATCTTTCACATCAGCTTCAGGGAAATATTTTTAATTCATCTATAACAGTAATTTACACTGCAGAGGAACACGCAAGATTTTTTATGTCTGGAAAAAAAAAGTGCTTTTATTTCTTTCATTCTACCTTTTCATCTGACCACATCATATGTCTCCCTGTCATCAGTGGAATGAAACCATCAAACTCTTCAGAGGAGGCATGCCGCTGAGAAGGCACTGGGCACACTTCCGCTACTTTGATTGCAGTTTCACAGGATCCGAGGCTGTAGATTATCTGCACGAGCTGCTGAGACGCAACTATAACTTTGGACCTGAGGTGACTCGCTACCAGACTCTGCAGCTGCTCAAGAAGTTCCTGAAGGCCCACGTCATTGAGGACATCAAAGGACGCCATGGGACAGAGGACTTTGAGGACAGCGGTCATCTGTACAGGTGAAATACATTCTTTGTAATCTTATACTGTGTCATGTTGTGCCCTTTATAATATTTCACAATGTTTCCTCGTCATGATATAGAAGTATGCTTTATCAGCATCAGCCGACTGTCACCTTACTGTTTTTGTCCAGAGGCACGAACTTGATGTTATAATTTAAATGTACTGCAACTCTGTACATTTACTTATATTTAATATTTGAATCCTGTCTTGCACTACCTGCAAATTAACCACCCTACCGCTGAACCAGATTACTGATTGGTAATTTCCACATCTTCATACAGTGTCCTGCTGGGTAAAGATATAAGGGCAGGGCCCTGCTGCTTTTCAATATAGGAGGGGAAGTTACTTTTCTGTTATTTTATGTACTAATGGATACATCAGGAAATTGAAAAATCAGTGCTGTGAGCAGCTACTGATGGGGACACATGCCGAGTTATTGTTAAACTTAGTTAAATTAGCTCAGCTTGTTTTTTTGTTTTTTTTTAAAGTTAGGATTTATTCAGCATTCTTTGTTATTAAGTTAATTTTAGGCCTCATGAGGCAAGACATGTTGTTCAAAGAAGAAGCAACAGAGTCTATGCTATTATAAGAACTTTTGCCTTCTTGTCAATGCTACCTGTATTTCCACACAATCACAATATCAACAGAAGAACAGACAAATGTCCTGGGGAACAGAAAACACAATGAAGCCGCTTCATTACGTGCATGGAGATCGTACCATTCCCATGCATGCAGTCTATGGTACTGTGCTGGTTGCAGGATATAAACATTACCATACCATTACGACTATTTTCTGCTGCACTCACGCATCAGCAGTTACTAGGGGGGCTGGCAGGAAGACGTCTAGGTAAAATCATAGTGAAAAATGTTGCTGTTTGCGTTGACACATGCAGCACACCAGGAAAACAGAACCTTTCATGAGTTTTGAGCAAGTGTGAAAGCACTATTTGTCATTTTCTGATTTCAAATCTAAACACCCCCCCCCCCCTCCCTTTCTTTTTTTCATTACACACTGGGTTCAGCCCTTTGACTGTGGATATAACAAACACATAGAGTAGACGGAGGAAAGGTGGAGAGAGAACAGATGGAGCAACAGGTTTCTTCATGAACTTTATAAATTAACTTGTTTTATTTAAAGCCCGGTGTACACTGTACGACTGCATACAATTTTTGTTGAAATGTCAGCTCACACTGTCCGACTGAATCCTTCTTGACGCACAAACAAAGCTCACAGTTCAAGGAGAGAGAGAGAGAAGGGGTGTGAGCGAGTGGAATGCATACTTACAGGCAACACTGATGCGCAGATCTGCCCTAGGTCTGCTTTTGGGCAAAAAGAAAAAGTGCTGGGGAAAATCCTGTGTGTATCCTGCAGTACATCAATGCTTTTTCAGGCTCTACTGGGCACCTCACGTCCACACTGCTGAAATGTCAGCTTGCCTGTGTATGGCTGGCAGGTTAGTGATATGATAAGTGACATGATTTAAAACAGTAAAAACATGTGAGCCCAAAAATGTTTCAATGTCTGCTGAACAGCTGAAGCCCATGTTAACATGTTGGGTTATGAATGGTATACCTTGTAAAGCTATGATAAGTGGTGATCAGTGTTTTACAACCATTTTGGCTGAGTTGACTCGGAGCCTAAGCCAAGTCGTGCCCAAAACTTTGGCCAATTGAATACCCAAAAGGACAAATCCAGTCTGGCTCTACCTTGGAGTGGAAATGAGGCCTTAGGTCAGGACTACTATAGTGCACTGTTGAAAGACACAAAATACTTTGTATAATTCATGTAGCCTAATTTATGTGCGGCCGTTTTACTCCAGCAGAGAATGAGCTTGTGTTATGTGTTCCTCTGTCCTGCGCAATGTCACTGTTTTGCTCATGTGTTTCTGCTCCTGCTATTTTAATTTGATTGCAATGAGTAGGGTCAGCAGGTGTAGCGCATCCTTTCAACATAGTAAATAATTTACATTAGGTGGTCTTGTGAAGTCAAACTATGAGATTTAGGCCTAGTAATAAGACAAGATAAAATAATCGATAGATTACTCCATTACTAAGAGAATCCTTTATTTATAGCAGAACTCATTGGTGCATGGTCAATGTTTGTCCTTCCCTCTTTGGCTGATCCCACTGCTGTGAACTTTCCTCTCAGGTTCCCGACACTTTCTCCCCTGAAATCGTTTCCAACAAGGCCTCTGTTAAAGGACAGCAGTGACTTGCCCAGACTCATTCGCTGGGATGACTACGAAGAATTGCCTCAGCGGGAAAACATCCCACCTCAGAAGTCTGCTGTCATGGTGAGAAAGAGCAAAAGACATTTCTGCTCCTTCTGTGAGCTTACTTAATGCATGCTGCTTGAATGTCTTCAACATTGTGCAAACTTAATAGAGGGCTGGATGATCTTTTATATATATATATATATATATATATATATATATATGTATGTATGTATATGTGTGTATGTGTATGTATGTATATGTGATCATTTTTGGAAGCAATGTTTTCTTTCTAAAAAGGAAAGCCTGACAGAAAGGACTCCTTTACAATCTCCTTCATCGTACACCCAATACCAAAAGAGTATCACACCCTCTTTTTGTTTTCTTTTGAGACTGCCATTGTACTTGTTTGTGTGTTGAACCCAGTTCTACAGCGTACATTTTGAAAGTGGTCTTGTGTTGAAGTCAATAACATTGACGTTCTTAAGTAGAGTGTTTTGACCATTTTGTCGTTATTTATATTGACGAAGGAGCATAACCGGCCTTACATCTGACACTCTAACTTTTATTTTGTTACATTTCAGGACTGTTGTATTTCACATTTGTTAGTGCTGTGTTCACTCAGCCGAAGTGAAATTAACTCTTTGATATTTGTCTGCAAATCTTTTTGAACAGACCTCAGATCTGTGGAACAAAAGGCACAGTGTAGCTATCGGGGATGTGCACGAATGCAAGCTCATACGGAGGAAGGAGATCACGCCCAAACAAGTGGACCACATTTGGAAATCAATGACAGTTGCACAGTATGTAACATGTTGACCACACACCTTTAACATTTCCTCTGTTCATTTGGTTTGGATACTTTGCTCTGGGATTATCTGTTCCCCTGTTTTTTTTGGTGGGGTTGAGGGCTATAGATCCATTTAGAAGAAACGACCAGAGTCTGCCCCCCCCTCAATCAGTGTTAATCTTCACACCATTTTCTAATTTAGTCATAGTCTCTTGACGAAAATGTCTTTTTATATTTAGTCAGATATTAGTCATTTGTTATTGATTTAATTTAGTCACTGTCTTAAATTGCACATAATTTTAGTTGACGAAAATAGAAGTTATTTTAGTCAACAAAATCAGATGCAAGCTTTTACTTTTATTATCAGAAGCTCCAGGGGGTGGGGCTTCACTGACTGCAGGCTCCAGGCTGCACATTGTTGCACTCACTCTCACACACACACACACACACACACACACACACACACACACCTTTGATGAAGTCTGCTATGGTTTACAGTGATTTAAGAACAGCTGAGGGGGGACGTGATAATCGTCACTTGTAATGTAGTTTTCGTTTCGTCAATTAGATGAAGTAATATTATTTATCAAATCGTCAAATGGCGGAGTTTCGTCTCGTCGTCATCATAGTTGACTAATTTAAAAAGACCTTCGTCAACAAATATTTTCGTCATTTATTTCGTTGAGGAGATTAACACTGCCCTCAGTACAGGATACATATTTAACGGTAATATTTAATTGATCACATTGCCAGAGAGGAATTGAGCTTTCCTTCACAAATCCCCAAGTTCACTCCTGTCAGACTGTGTTGACAGCTTGTATGTATCAGCGTTTCTCGGAGATCTTTAATCCTATCATGTATTTCATCACCTGTTCTGACTTTTTAAAAATGCTGAGCCCCTGAAAATTCAGAGCTGGAAAGCATGAAGGTTGTCAAGTCACAAGCTGCAGCACAACAAAGTTTTCAACTTCATAATTGACACTTTTCTTAAAGGACCACAAAATGATCTTGGAGCTATATTTGTCCACCTTAAAGACCCCTCAGACAGACACTTACTTTGTGAACCACTGCTAGATTTGATGCTAACTCTGTTGTTTTTAGTTTACAGAGAGTGTTGGGCCTACAGTCAATGGATGGAGTTTTAAACCACACACATGTGAATGACAAGCACATCGTTCACAACGTGTTCAAGGTGAATAGGACGGGTATCGTTGTACTGGAGAATAAAGCAGGTATGATGGATTCATTCACATGTTAAGAAGAATAGTTTTTGGCCACGCCGGATATTTTTATAACGGAATTCAACTATTTTCTCTTGCCTTTCTAGAGGACATGCCGTATTGGGTGATTTCAGCCATGAAATGTCTCGCTAACTGTAAGTAATACCATTTCTGCCCATTCTTCAAAAAATAATGATGTTAGAGAAAAGGTACACATTTGCTTTAGGACTTTTTCTTAAAGGGGTATATGCCTTTAGTATGTATGCCTTTTCTGGTTTTATATACTATTTGGTGTGTTTTCCATGTGTCCTGTGCATGTTTAGGGACATCTATGTGCAAAAATACCAAGTCTACGGAAACGCAGCTTCTCCTACCTCCTCCTGTTAGCTGTAGCATTAGCTGCATGTAACGCTCGGTTCTAGCCCCCCTCGATAAAAATTTGCCAGTGTGACGTCTTGTCAGTGTGAGATCACTGATCTAAGCCCATTGGCTCGTTGTGGCAAGCCCAGCAGCTCATGTTGCACGCCCGTTAACTTCTGTAGCACGCCCACGATATGCCGTAGCCTGCAATAGCACAGTAGTGCTAAGGTGCTAATGTTTTTGCTCCCGGGCCCTCAGAGCCAAAGTGGCTGCTTTCCCAATATGGTAAAAGGGGCGTGACATTTCCGAGAACTGTGCTGAGCGACTGACCAATTACGGCAGAGCCGACAGGCCAACCAATCAGATCAGACTTGGCACACGTGGGGATTCTGAATGTGGGCACTTCAGAGCCTTAGGGAGAGAGACAGAAGCGAGCCGATGCATGGAGCAGCAGTACATGAAAACAGACACTTTTTTAAAACTTTAGCTATTGTGAACATACTTTAGTAGGAACATAGATTAAATATGCAAACCCCAAAAAGGGCATAATATGGGCTCTTTAAAAGAAACATAGATGCAGAGTCCAGGTTGTACACTGAAACTCTAGCTATTATATATACTTATTTGAATGTGATGGTGCTGTACTTTTTGTGACATGTAAATACAGTTGTCTTCTTTCCCAGGGCCAAATGGCAATGAAACCAAACAGCCAATGTACCCGGGTTTCGAGAGGGATGTGCTGAGAACAGTAGGAGAATACTTTCAGAGACTCAAAGAACCCCTGCTGACTTTCCATCTATATGAAGTCTTTGTCAACATTCTCAGTGAGTGCATCACGATGAGCTTCCACTGCTAATATTTGTGCTGTGCTTCTTCTGGTGTAGCCTGTGTTTGCCCCTCAGGAGCTGGACTCATATTTTTGTTTTTCTCTTCGTGTCTCTGCAGGCCTGCTACACAATCAGGAGGTGGCCACTGAGGCCCTTCAAGTCAGCAGTCTCCTACTGCCACCACCCAACCGGAGACGCCTCCAGCTTTTACTGCGCCTCATGGCTCGGGTCTGCCACAATCCCCACCTGCCTCCACTCAATGACACCATTGCTACCCGCACACTGGTATACAGAGCTGACAGTTATTTGCAATATCTCTTTGTGCTACTGCTTGTTATCTGAGGTCAAATAAAACTGGGAATTTGCGCAATTCAATAAATCAGCCTTGGAATATATAGGCACAACGTAATGAACAATCAATACAAATATTTTGCAATCAACAAATCCCTTTTAAAGCTTGTAAGATGCAGCGTGTTATATTGAGCTGCAGAGGTTTAGTTGGCCTTGGTTTGTTTGTTTTTTATTGGATTTTATCAAGGTGAAAGGAACACATCTGACACAGTCTCCCTGCAGGACAAAGAAAAGAAAACATGCTGTTTGTCCAGAAACCTGCCCACCTGTTAATAAGACAAATGGATGCAGGACAGTGTTTTCATGGAGACCGAAAACCTCCAGTTTCTTAAAAATCTTTGGAATAAAGAGTGGTCTTAAACTGCTCATAACAAGATTTATTGCATAATGATTGCTTTAGAATAAATCTATAGGAGTGTGCCTCAGGCTCTTCAGATATATGTAGCAGCATCAAAACATTCAGGCAGTGAGTAAGATAAATGTACACATTAAAAACAGCTCACGCCATGGTTCAGATTAAAACACAAATTTTCCCCTTCTCTTGCGTCCAAGAGGCTCACTGACCAATCAAGCTCCACTACATTCTGACGCATGTCAAAGAATACACTCAATATGTCAAAATCTGATTGGTGGAAGAATATTTAAACAATATTGTTTTCTCAAACTGCAGAAGGATTCACTTAATATTCTGAAGGCCTCAGGGCAAATTACATTTTGACCTGAAGACAACACGGGGGCCAAATCTGATTGGATAAAAGAACGAAGATAAACCAATGCAAATTATTCTGACAATCAACAATGTCAGAGCAAAAAAAAATACATATGATTTTACCCTGACGGCCCACCACTGGTTTCATGCTCAGACCAATCAGTCTGCTTACATACTAAATTCCAATATGAATAGCTTCATTAGGGCGGTGCTTGCTCCATTGCTTTGATGTTTTATTTGACAGATGCTCATCATAGTTTGTCCATCATCGATATTTGTATAAATGAGTAAAGGTGTGGGCTATAATTTCGCATTGACCTCTAACTTATCTCCTGTCTCTTTACAGATGGTGCAGATGTTCTCCCACTGCGTCCTGGGCTCAGTAGATGAGATGGACCTGGACGAGCTGCTCGCCACTAAACTGGTGACCTTCATGATGGAGCACCACAACACCATCTTCCAGGTTCCTTCCAAACTGCGTCGCCAGGTTGAAGAGCACCTGTCCCATCTCAAAAGAGTCCAAGTTAGTACAAAGTTCAGATAAAGTTTTGTGCAAAATTTAGAAGCTAAATGTATGAAAAACATTGTTCTCTTTTAACAATTGTGTGCTCTAGTAGTAATTAAACACAAATTGTCAAAACATAAAATCCAAGGCCCATGGAAGTGTAATGCCTCTGCGCTTGACCGTTGATGGAGACCCTCAAGCAGGCAGCCAGGTGCTCTCCTTGGGTTAGGGTATACTGTTCATACTCCTCTTTTAGTTACGATTATCGCTCCTCTCCAGCTCCACCCGCTTTCTCTACAACATGCAGTGTATTATAAATGACATTAGCGGGGGATGCTGGGAGTTCTATTTGATGATGTCATACTATTTGCTGCTGCAAAAGCACATTTTATTAATGAATTGTAATGTAAGTATTATAAATACTTCAGAGTATTAACAGAAGCTCAAACAGATTGAAGAACATTTTAACAGACATCAAACCTCACACTGAAGGTTCAGACGTGTTTTGTGACCAGATTATAGAACAGTCAAATAAACAGAGCAGGGAGGGTGACGTGCAGACGCACAGACAGATGAGCTCTTCGTCCACTTACATTGTGCAATGGCACCGACTCGCTCGCTCGTGTAGCTCTCTCCCCCTCTCAAGCGCGCATCTTTTTCTTTAAATGCATGTTTTTGACATAATGAAGGTGAGAAGCTTTTGAAGGTGATCTAATCTTTAGACTAGTAAATAAACTAAAGGCGAAGTGGATTTGTTCCACTCTGTCAGAAGTTCTTCTGCAGTTTCTGTAAGAATATTCAGCTAGGATTTCAAAATCTAGGGAAACAAATAGGTACGCTGCTTTGTCTGACAGGATGATCAAACGTCTTTGATTTCTTGGATTGCTTTTAAAACCTCCGACACAACTCAATGTGTGCGCATCAACTGAAAAGCTCGGAACAGCTGTGAGTTGTAACACTCTGCAGGAGGTTTTATAAACAAGGTACCTACTGCTTTAGTTGAAGGACTTAAAATGATAGGCCGTCACAGTCTCGGTAATTAATGGGAAAAACTGATGTAAAAAGCTTGGATTGTTTGTAAAGACAGAAAAAAAAGACATTTAATATTATATAACTTTTACCAAACTACATTCACTGCAACTCAAATCTTTTGGTGAATAACATGTCTGCTGTAATCTAATGAAGTAACACACAACTTTCATTTAGCTTATGCATGTCTATGTGTGCATTTGGTGCCCTGCAGGGGGCAGAAAAGTGCTGGCTGTGCGTTCAGGAGCACAGGTGCTGAGAATAAAAGACAAACAACAAACGATGCACGTGCGTTCAGGGAATTATATCTTCAGTCTGTGGAGCGACCACGGCGCTCTATAATGGAGTGTGTCTTCGTTTACAGCGACTACAGCAGGCTGTAATGTTACTCAAGTGAAGCTACTGATGGTTTTCACACACAGCCGCCAGCTGTCACCTCAGTGTCCGCATGATAGCAGACGAGATGAGAGTGATCAAAAAAAAAAATACACTGCCTGACATATCAACGCTTTGCGACCAGTTTCTGTGTGAATGTCGTATAGCGTTCATGGTCTACATGGCACTACATAACTGCTGTCTTCTTTTCACTGAGTCTCTGTTCAGTGATTTAGCGGTAGCTTTTATTACTGGCTACAGCATGTTTCTAAATGTTCCATTGATCCGCAGGTCACTTACGGCCTGAACCTTGGGGGGGTATTCCAAAATGAATCACGGATCAAAAAGTCTGTGATGGTGGTCTGATCTCACTGCATCTTAAATCACATCGACGTGCACCAAGTTTTTCTGCCTTACCTTCTTCCTCCCAGAGTCCAAGTGAGAGCCATATCTGTGCATCATTTGTGGAGATAATGTTCCTGATGAGTTCCATGTTCTTACCAAGCTAAAGTTTGGAGAAGAGGTGCAGTCAGTTTAGATATTTAAAGCCACATAGAGACTTAAAGTACCTTCTTTGATTTATTGATGGAGGTGTAAGACTTCAAGTGCAAAGTCCCAATAGCTCAGGCTCTCAGTGTCCGCATGTTATGTTTGAGTTGGAACCACGTCTGAAAAAAAATAAAGATACCTCTTGGAATTTGCTTTATAGTCAAAGAAGTAATAATTTTACAAAAGAGAACAGCAGTATTGTATGATAATACTGGAAACTGTGAGTATTATTAAATGAAAAAAAGATTGCTCACATGAATCTAATATTTGAAAACAATACTGTCACTGTGCACGGAGGATCTATGTTCCTGTATCTGCTTTGTTAGATAGAAAAACATTTCAGAATCAGGACTACAGTCTTAAGGACATTGTATTAACATTTCTTTCCCACTAACACAAGGTTACCCTGTGTTTTCAAAAGAGACCCTAAAGACGCTGTACTGTAGACACGTTTCTTTGAATAAATCAAGGAAATGCAACTTGTGTTCCCTCGAGGTTGGGATATGCAGACTTGCATTATAGATCGAAAACATTGTGAATGAAGTCAATCTTCACAGGAAAAGGCAGTGGGGGATTACATGTGTATCATCAGCATTGTTTGGAGTTGTTTGTAAATCTTTTAGGAGCAGGATTGAAGCACTTTCATACTAATCATTAAAAATGAGAGTCATTTCTGCGTCAACATTTTAACAGACAGGGCTTTCTCTTTTCTTAAATTAATTTGTCTTTGGATTTTGTGCGCCTGACCAATTGGTCGCCCACAGAGTGGAATGCTTTGAATTCCTCTATGCACAGTTGGTGAATATTGATGTGTGCATATGTTTCCTTTTGGCAGGAAATATCAGAATATGTAGAACACAGACTGCATTGGCAGTCAGCATTGTTTGTCCCCCAAATGAAGGCCTGATGGATTGAATTATTTCAGTCCAACATTGGTCGTCTAAGCTTATACATCCCACACTATGAGCGGGACTGAAAACATGTTTGTTTAGTTTTTCCTGAGAATGGAGAATTTAGTTTAAAAAATGTTTAACCATGAGAGACTTCTATTTCCTCAAAAGAACATTATTTATTCATGATGCTGCAGCAAAAACAATATACTGTACCTTTCTGCATTTTCTCTTTTTTAATTTATTCATAAATAAAAAAGAAAGAGTGCACACAGTCATATTAATATAGCTTCTTTTTTTAAAAAACTCGTGAATCTGAAAGTATGTACATTCATCTCCCTTTTCCTTGTGTCTTCCATTAGATCAAATACGCAGGTTCAGACACAGACTTCAGTTCATCTCCAGCCTTTTGTAAACAGATCAGCAGGGTTGAGTCTGAGGAGCAGAAGGTGATTGGAACACAGACCCCCCTGCAAGAGCTGCTCGAAGGCCTGATTGCAGACAAAGAACTACCTGCCAAGGACAAGAAGAAACGGCTTAAACAGGTACAGCTGTAATGACTGGAAAAGAGAAACGTCATTAAATGTTCGATGTTGGATCTTGTTTTTTTTCTCTATCTATAAGTTTGTGTGGGCGATTGCAGCAAAATGTGACTGTTGATCAAAAATCTGTTTATAAAATGAACCATTGCCACAGATGTGTTATAGTGTGTTGTTTATGTACAAAGTCTTTATTTCTTATGTTTCAAGAGTCATCAAAGTCAAACATATGACTATCCGAGAGTAATGTATTTCCTCCCCTCTGCAGTTCCAGAAGTCGTACCCAGAAGTGTACCACCATCGATTTCCCACCGAAGAAAGCAAAGCTGCTGTCATACCTGAGAAAACTCCTCGGCCCAAACCTCATCTCATGTTCTTCAACCTCAAGAAACCCTTCCAGCCCTTTCAGAGGAGCTGGAGTTTCAGGGCCTAATCTCTCTCTCTCTGACACATCTGCACTACAGGCTACATTTACCACACAACACTAGCGCTATGAGACAAGGAGCACTGAGGCTGTAATGGTACAGTGGACACTTCTTAAACACCATTTACCACTATAGCCTGTTTAAAAATAATGACTTTGACTTTGTAGCACTGTTGAGACAAGTTTATAACTAAAAGACTCAGTCAGCACAAATACACAACAACAACAATAATAATAATAACGGTACATGTCAAATGATATCTAGCTGAGATCTAGATAGCCGCTAAATATTTTTAATTACATTTTAAAGCTTTATCTTAAAGTATAAAAATAAGAATAAATGTTGACAGCTGAACTGACCCTTTAAGAACAAAAACTAACTCACAGTAATGGTCCAAAACTTGAACAAAGAATAGAAAACTTAAATCCACTAGCACTAAAAAAAAACACTGATGTTTCTTAAAATAGAAATACATAAAGTTTAATGTGTTGCTGCGTCCTCCTAATAAAAATACTGTACGATAAAATAGAAAGGGTTAGGAGTATTAATGGCTTATTGCGGATTAATTCTATACCTGAAACTAAAATGAATGAAATGCATTTCAAAAGTATTAATAGACTATTAGATGTTGCCATTAAAGTGTGTGAACGTAATCATGTTCCATTGTTGAGGCATAGTTTTGTACAGTTTGAGAAATGTTCAGATGCATTTCACCGTATTACAATTCACCTTGAAAAAGATGATGTCATCATGATGTAATATTCTGCTGCATTTCATTTTTAAACGTGCTTGATAAAGTGGAACGGGTCATTATGATAATGAATCTAGGCAGCTTAGAGCCTAACCTTAAAATATCAATGAACATATTGGGTGTCTGCTGAGAAAAGGGGTGGGGCTTGTTACATAAAAAATAAAGCTCCTCATGAGCTGAGGTCACCATTTGATATGGAACTACAAATATCACAACAACAGAGGGACAGTGTACTTAGTCAAGATTTCATTTGTAGATGAATTTTTTTCTGTAAAAATAAATCTTATTCTAAAAAAAAAAAGGGAAAGGGAAATCTGGTCCCAGCCCTTCTCTCTTAACCCTCCCCACACCTTACTTGAAAGCTCCTTTAGTATACGCACTCTTAAAACGACTCATTTCATGTTTTGACTTGTTGGTTTTATTCTGTATATAAGAACTATTCGTCTTGATTGGTACATATTTCAATGTTTAAAATACTTTCACTGTATTCTGTCACTTCTCTTACCTGCTGCTCTTTCACGTCAATCAGGATGTTTTTCACTTAATTTGACACTTAAAATGTTTTTGTATTTTTGAATGATTAATGCTGATATCTCTTTATGAATTTTCATTATGCTCTTGAACAAACAATGCTGGAATAACTGTTACACTTGAATCGCTGCTCTTAGTTGTTAAAAAACAAAAATGCTGACTTTGGTATAAAATATAAAATATTGTTTGGCAAATATAACTCTTTGTTTTCTTCTTTGGTGAGTATACGCTTTCTTTTTTAAAAGCCAAAATGCACCCAACCTATAACTGAGTTCAGTTATTTTAACTACCACCATTTGTGGCTGAAATAAAATGCACGCAGGTGCAAAAATCTTGCCACAAAGTAACCAAGGACATGGATTTCCATGTTTGGTAGTAAAAATCTCACTATTTGAAATGTGCGCGTTCGTAGGATGATAACTCTGCCTCAAGTTAATTACAAAATACCCCCAGTTAACTATATGTGAAATATTTTGGGATGTTAATGTGGCTACGGACAACAATATCTGATCTATAAAGTGTCAAATATCCAAGCTAACTCAGAGCCATGTGCAAGGAGGCTGTGGCTCAGTTGGTAGAGCTGATGGACTCTCAACCTGAAGGGTAGGGGTTCGAACCCCAGCTTTCCGGTTGAGAGCCCAAGGCACACCCATCGAAATGTCCCTGGGCAAGGCACCTAACCCCAAATTGCTCAAGCTGCTTCGTCGGTGGCGTTTGCTTTGTATGAATGGGATGAGATGGTCACTACATAGCAGCCTCTGCCATTTCAATCAGGAGAGACTTAATTTAGAATGAACAATTATTTATTGAACATTGTGCAACAATTTAGATTTGAATGTGCGAAGTCTTTGGGGGATTAGACTCCATCATGACCACTTCATGTACTCGGAAGGGTAATGAGGCCCACAGCAGGATAGGATACCCCCTATGAAGTCTAGACCCTGGTGGTGGTGAAGATGAAGGGAGGCTATGATGATCCTGGATCTGGACTATGCTGAGCTGGAACGGAGGTGACTGGGGCTGTGGTGGGTTTCAGCGGTTGCCCTGAAATGACAGAATGACTGCGGAAGAGAGAAAACTGTTTTAACATTTTGCCACAACAGGATGATTGGTTGAGAGAGGTTGTGCCCGAATCTGGTTGGTTAATTACTTGGAAGAATCATTATCAGCTGATCACCAGAGCAGGTAGACGGAGGAAGTAGTTTAGATTGAAGTGAAAGGATGAATGAATTTGTGAAAGAATACAACCAGTCTTCTTGTCTGAACTTACACTGAGCTCCATCAGTGTGTGAATGTAGGTGTGACCTGTGTTAACACTTTGAGTAGTCAGAATACCAGAAAAGCGCCATACAAGCTCAAGTCCATTTAAAGCTAACTAGCTTTTGTTCATATTTCGTGGGTCTAAGTCTGAGCGATTATTTGATAATTTACACAGTGAAACCCTGAGTTTGATGTTGAACATAAACACGATTCAAAATGTATCTGTCAGGGTGTGATTGGGAACTATGTTCCAATCCAATCCAACTTTATTTGTTAAGCACTTTAAAACAACCACAGTTGACCAAAGTGCTGTACAGAAGAATAAATAAAATACATAACAGCTCACGAGATAAAAGAAAACTACATGTGAAATACAGAATCAAATTAAAAGACATTAAATGTAGTAAAATGAATAGGCACCCAAAAAAGAAATAAAAGAAATAAATAAGTCGACGTCTTAGTGTGTGTCAAAGGCCAGGGAAAAGAGATGGGTCTTAAGACGAGGTTTAAAAACAGGCAGAGAAGAGGCCTGCTTAATGTGCTGAGGTAAATCGTTCCATAATTTTGGAGCAGCAACAGCAAACGCACGGTCCCCTCTGAGCTTCCACTTGGTTTTAGGCACCCTCAGGAGCAGCTGATCAGCTGACCTGAGAGAGCGGGTGGGCGTGTACGGGTGTAGAAGCTCAGAGATGTAGGGCGGGGCAAGACCATTAAGAGATTTAAAAGCAAATAAAATAATTTTAAAATTGATCCTATATTGTATGGGCAACCAGTGGAGTGAAGCTAAAATGGGGGAAATGTGGTCATATTTTCGTGTGCCAGTTAAAAGACGTGCAGCTGCATTCTGTACCATCTGGAGACGGGCGATGGAGGACCCACTAACCCCCACATACAATGCATTGCAGTAATCCAGCCGTGTGGTAACAAAGGCGTGGATTACCGTCTCAAAGTGCTGCCTTGAAAGAATTGGCTTTATTTTGGCCAGCTGCCTCAAATGAAAAAAGCTTGATTTTATGACAGCCTTAATCTGACTGTCAAGCTTAAGATCAGGGTCCACTTTAACCCCTAGGTTTGTGATGCATTTTTTGTATACTGGGCCAAGGAACCTAGATCTACAAGGGGGGGTACCAGTGGTACCACCAAAAACCATCACTTCTGTCTTTTTATCATTAAAATGTAAAAAGTTCAGAGCCATCCAGGCCTTTATGTTATCAAGACACTCAAACAAATCGAACAGAGTATTCATTTTTCTTTTGAAGTGGCACATAAATCTGACTGTCGTCTGCATAACAGTGGAATGCAATGCCATGCTTCCTAAGTATTGAACTTAGCGGGAGCAAATAGAGAGAGAAAAATGTTGGGTGTAATTTCCTTTAACTGAAAAAAACAGTAACAACACTGCAAGAACATGGCATGTACAGATAGTTCATATATTTGGCAAATGAAGTCCATTTTCATTTTGAATACAAACACAAGAAGTGAGGTAATGACTTATAAAGAGACCTTAACTAAATCGCATTACAGAATTGACACCTTTTGTACTTTTGGTTAATTGAACTTTAATAGAACATGCAAACCGTACTTAATTCTAATGAAGGGAACTCACTTTGCCTTTATACATTCACTACATGTTCAATCCAAATGCTATGGTTCCCCTTAATCTCACAAGTTAATTAGCATTTTTCCCAGACAAGTACAGCAGAGTGAAAGAGTAAGATACAGTCTCTATTAATTAGAAATCCTTAAATTGCCTGCCCTGTCTGCTCTCTTTCCATCTTGTGCTTTTTAACTGATCATAATCAGGAGGCATATGTGGAGATGAATCTACAGACGGGGAATGTTGATGTGTGTCGCTTCATAAATCGCTCAGAGGCTAGCAGCTGACACCTGCATAACATCACAAGTATAACGTCCCACACTGAAAACAATTTGTGTAGATTATGTTTGACTTTACTCACAAAGTGGGGTTATGAAGTTTATCCAAAAAAGTAGAATTTTAAAGAAAAATGTATTCCCCATTTACATTCAATTTAACTCCATTGATGATTAATTGATTTCCCTTGACAGGAAGGGTTTGAAAAATAAACTACAGCTGTTAGATGTCTAGAGAGTACAAGTAAAATAATACACTGAATTTGTATCAGGAAGAGAGAACTGTGTTTATTATGTTTTTTTGGATGGAGCCTAGTGATGACAGGCCTACATTGCGTGCACAATTATTAGCCAAATTATATTTTTCAGCATTCATTTGATTTAGTACAATGCTTTTAGTCAACCCAAAATGTTTAACAAAGAAAACGTGAGTTTTGTCTGTGTGTATCTGAGGAACTGGAGTCACATTTATAAATGTTGTCCAGGCCCAGTTCTAGAGAAAAAATTTAAGCAGAAATTTAAAATGAGGGTGCAATTTATCCTTTTGCACCCTCGTAGAACGAGGCCTTTCCTCTCTTTAATCAAACATGGTCACCAGCATTGAGCTCACAGCCAATCCTGTGTTAGTGTGACACACAGAAATGTGTGATCACATTATGCAATTTGTGCCACAAGGAGGCGTGACCTCCAGGTGAGACAGCTTAGTGTGCTTGGCAGCCCTCATCTTCAGACTAGAAGAAGCAAGGATAGGAAACACTACATTGCTTTGTCTCATTATTTCCCTGTTATTAACAGCTGAGTAAATGTCACAAATCACATACATGTGGTCTATATATTCTTCTATAACATGTAGAAGCTAACGCCATCTTTAAGTGTGTGTCAGGATGTGTTATAAATTTGTTTTGAAGGTTTAAAGGTACTTTAGCAATAATGCTCATGAGCCCTAGCTTAGCTCATCGCCACGTTCATATATGGGCGCCACTGTATGTCTGTCATGGCTTGTACCTAGCTCCCATGCTCTTTTGATAGTTTTGTAAAGCTCCTACATATCTCTTAAAGTAACTGTGAGTTCATGAAGACTGTTCGTTTTCATATTTTGTACTTATTTTTTCTTGTAAAATAACTCTAACTCCGCTAGCTTCGCAGTTTCTCTATGGGATTTCCGATGTTATTTGCTAGCATAATGCTAAGCAAGGATTGATCTCCTCCTGTATGAACCTGTATGCAACTGTATTGTATTAATAAGCTCTTAAGTAGCAGAACCAAATTATTTTATATTTGTTTAAGGACTAATAACACACAGAAACATTTATTTTGTAGTTTTGAGAACTTTTGCATGTTATATAAGACAAACTATAAGTTTATGTATATTTCTGTGCATATTGTGTTGAAATGTGGATAAAATGTTGTTTTTGAAGAAAGAAATGAAAACCAAAATACAGTTTAAGTAAAACTGAAATACATAAACATATGTATAAAAATAAAGACTAGAAGAAGCGAGGATAGGAAACACACTACATTGCTTTGTCTCATTATTTCCCTGTTATTAACAGGACAAATCTAATCTGGCAACAGTCCTCCATACAGGGCCTGTTACATTAGCATTTCTGCCATCGTGGTGGCCTGCAGTCGTACCTG